AGCGCGGGAGAGCACCATCCGAGGTCAATAACGTTACCGGATATATGGGTAGGGACATCCGGCGGCGTAACGAGGAGGAGGGGGTTGGCGGTGAGCAGGTCGTGCAGTTCGAAATCAGCGTCGCATGTTGGAGTTTTGGTTTTTGAGTCCCAATGCGGATGGTGCGAGTTTGAATCTAGGACCACAAGAATGCGAGAAGCCGGGTCGAGGCGACGCAAAATTCTCCGCAGAATTCCCACTCCTGCGCTAGTACTATCATCCTCCGCCCACTCTAACAAGAAAAACTTATACATAATCACTGTGGGCGACCTCCATTGATCAATGGGGGCTTCCCTACCTAACTCACACCCCCAGTAAATAATATGATTATATACGAGTAAGGACCAAAAAAAGGACCTCGTCAGCTCCATGACCACCGAGGGGAATCGAACCCCCTCTGCCCATTGATTATTGCTGTTGCATTAGTTTATGCGGGTGATCTCCTTGATCACCGAGGGCTTCCCCTACCTAGAATGTAAGCGACACACATAGCATATTTAGGTGACGGAAGGAAGCCAAAAAGTCATCACTATGCGTCTCATGCCTTCGGGGGGATTCGAACCCCCTCCCCCCACTGAGTTCCGAAACCTTATATATATTTCTCGTGGGTGATCTCCTTGATCAACGAGGGCCTCCTCTACCTATGATTCGACCAAAATAAATTGGATGGATTTGAATATGCGAGGATTGATTCGTTCTAGGCTAACCAGCAATCTGCCACTGATAATCTACCTCGGGTAAGTGATCTCGATTGAATAATGAGGGCTCTCCCTACCCAGAATGCATCCCAAATGAATAAAAAGGAAGCGGATACCGCCTAAGCCCTGGGGGATTTCGAACCCCCTCTACCCACTAATCACTCTACTCGTTGGCTATCTAACTTGGTGTGGGTGATCTCCATGATCAACGAGGGCTTCATACCTTGGTTCTCACCTGGATTGTATCAGACTTTTGAGGGAACGCCAGAGTACACAGCCGGAAGTGAACATGCCCGTATCCTTACATCTATATGTCAACCTTCAAGATGCACAATCAATAATTCATCAAGCTTCAAGGGGCGCAATCGATGTGCGCTCCATTGATGACTTTAACAAAGCTGGTAGGATGGAGTTGGGCGATGCGCATGGGTGGAAAGAATACATCACCCTCCAGTCAAGCCCTCGGGGGGATTCGAGTCCCCTCCGCCCACTCTAACAAGAAAAACTTATACATGATCGGTGTGGGTGACTTCCATTGATCAACGAGAGTCCCGCCCAGTTCTCCCTAGGCTAAATGCAATAGACGAAGATAAGATAGAACTGAAATGGGGGAAAAAACAGAAACAGAATTGAACCACCCGTAGCAGCCCTTACACCTATCCGTCGAGCTTCAAAGTGCGCAATCGAGGTACTGGCATTATGATTAATGTAGGGGGGAAAATAATACTAGACCCCAACCATGCCTTCGGGGGGAGTCGAACTGCCACCGCCCACTGATTCCGGTGCGATCGGTGCGATAATCAACGTGGGTGATCCATTGATCAACGAGGGCATCCCTACCTCACCCACATCTTTAATTAAGAGCACATATCTGCGAAAGGGTGGAAGTGGATAAAATCAGGTTTATATCCTTACTATGCCCTCGGGGGGAGTGGAACCCCTCCGCCCACTCTAATACGAAAAATTAATGGACAATCAGTGTGGGTGACCTCCATGGTCAACGAGGCCGCCCCCACCCAAATCTCATCAGCCTAAATGCGACAGAAGAAGATACGGTAGGACTAAAAGGGGGGAGAAAACAGAAACAGAATTGAACCACCCATGGCAGCCCTTGTACCTATCCGTCGAGCTTCGGGTGCGATGTGCTGTCCATTGATGTATGTAGGGGGGGAAAGATTGGACAGAGATCATTCACCATGCCTTCGGTGGGATTCGAACCCCCTCCGCCCACTGATTCCGGTGCAACCGATGTAACAATCAACGTAGGTGATCTCAATTGATCAACGAGGGTTTTCATGCCTACAAGCCGACCAAAATACATAGGTTGCATTTGAGTGATGCAAGCAAACAAAATTTTGTGATCCTCGCTGATGCCCTGTGGAAATCGAACCCCCTCCGCCCACAGTCCAAGCTGAACATGTAGCAATCGGTTGGGTGATGTCCATTGATCGATGAAGGCTTCCTCTACCCAATTCTCACCAGCCCAAATCCAACAGAAGACGATGGGCCACAGATAAAGAGGTAGGTAAAACAGAACTGAGCATGCCCGCAGCCCTTACCCGTATCTGTCGAGCTTCAAAGTGCGTAATCAATCGAGGTACTGTCCATTATGATTAATGTAGGGGGCAAAGGGATTGGAGAACGACTATCCCTTTGGGCGGATTCGAACCCACACTGCCCACTGCTTCCATTGTGACTGGTGCAACAATCAACGTGGGTGATCTCCTTGATCAATGAGTGCTTCCCTACTTCACTCACATCTTGAATTAAGAGCACATATCTGTGAAAGGGTGGAAGAGGAGAAAATCCGGTTCATATCCTCCCTATGCCCTCGGGGGGATTCGAGCCCCCTCCGCCCACTGATCGTCATTCCTGCTGTATTAGTTTGTGCGGGTGATCTACTTAATCAACGAGGGTGTGACGGTTCGGTCCATTAACCCTTCATCTGAACATCTTTTTATTCCACCACCTATTTACTCATTATTATTCACTGCGGTGATTGAAAAAAATTACCTGAAGAAAAAGGGCCTCAAACTATATTGTTCATTTACCTGGCCCAAATTTTACCTGGGGAAAATCGAAGGTAAAATTCACGTTGTTTCCTGTGAATTTTCACAAAGAAACAAACGAGATCTTTCTCACAGGAAAGCTCCCGAGAAAACAGTGATATCAGCAGATGTGATTTAATTTTGACACAAGTTACTGACCTGGAAAGTTTAAATTTTTCGTACAAGTTGCTGTAGAAATAAATTAAATTTTCACACAAGTTGCTGCAGCAGGATTAATCCGAGGCCAAGTCAAAATGAAAGAACTGCGGAAGCGAGAGTCGAGCCACCAACCTCAGGAGCTCGACCAAATTAACAAGATCCACGTAGCACACCACTCCACTAACTGGTTGAAGGTACCCAAAATATTGCCATCATAACACCAAACTGTTTTCGGAAACCAACACTGAGGGAAAGGTTAGCTGGTCGGGCAAGAAATCATCTTCAAAAAGGAGACATAGAGAGTAGGAAGCATATGCAATTGGGGCAAAATGAATGGTTAGAAATTAGTCGATGGACATGATCTAATGGCGGCAATTGTTGGAATCAGGATAGGTCACTGCTACTCCCTGGTAGTGTAGTGGTAAAGTTGGTATACTGATAATTTGCTGCATTCTGTGGATGACAGTAGTCTATGGTTCAAACCCAGTCGTTGTGATTCATTTTATTGAACCGATTAATCTGCGCAAGATTAATCTGGCACAATTAAATCTTTTGTCTCAGATTAATCTTGAAATATTAATCCTCCGCCTCTCACGGTCATTGATATAAGCCACTACGGCCTGTAACATACAGCAGCTTGTGTGAAATTTTAATTTTTTTCTACAGCAACTTGTGTAAAAAAAATAATTTTTCCAGCTCAGTAACTTGTGTCAAAATTAAATCACAGCTGCTGCAACCGTTGGAGAAAAAGCCATCTTTTCCCACAGTTTTTTGTGAAGACAAAGACCGGATTTTTCCCAAGGAAAAAGTGATGAACAAAGGGTGTTCCTTTGTTCTCCTCTTTTCCCTAAGGTAAAAGATGGGCTTTTTCCATGGGGTTTCCCGAACAAAGATCCTGTTTGTTTCCCCATGTAAGAGTCCATGAAAAAGACAGAATCTTACCCTTGATTTTACCCAGGTAAAAGTTTTACCAGGAAAAGGAACACCATAGTTCTAGGCCGATTTTCCAGAGGTAATTTTTATTGAGGACCGCAGTGATTCCGCTCCTTCCTTACCATTTCTGTTCCCATCCGTATCATATTATCACGGAGGCTCTACACTCGTTACCATCTTTTTCTGATTGATCTACTTCTACTCTACTATAAAAACCCTGTCGCAGGTTGAGATTCCCCGGTTAATCTAAGACTTATACCTGTTACTTGGACCAACCACCCACCTTAATTCATGTGCCGGTACTTAGCTTCGAGCTCCCCGTCACAGAGGGCTACCCCTACCCAGAATGTAAGCGACACACATAGCATGCATTTGGGTCATAGAAGGACGCCAAAAAGTCATTGCAACGCGCCCAATGCCTTCGGGGGAATCGAACCCCCTCCCTTACTGAGTTCAGATTCCAGAAACCTTACTTATTTCTCGTGGGTGATCTCCATTGATCAACGAAGCCTTCCTCTACCTAAAATAAGTCGGATAGATTCGAGTGTGCCAGGATTGATTCGTTCTAGGCTAACCAGCAATCTGCGGTCACTGATAAACTTCGGGTAGGTGATCTCGATTGAACAACGAGGGCTTTCCCTACAGAACATATCCCAAATGAATAAAAAAACGCAGATCGCGCTTAGGCCCTCGGGGGGATTCGAACCCCCTCCGCCCACTGATTCCGTTGTCACCATCGCCAACAATAAACGTGGGTTATCTCCATGATCAACGAGGGCTTGCATACTTAACTCTCAACCTGATGGTCCCGGACTTTTGGGAAAGCCAGAGTAAAAGTGTATCCCCCACTCATGCCTTCGGGGGGAATTGAACCCCTCTATCCCACCGGTAGATATTCAGTGTGGTGTGGGTGATCTCCAATGACTAAGGAGGGCTTTCTCTCCCCAATTCTCACCCGGCTACAGTATCTCCAACAGAATGAGGGTGGCCAGAGTGACAAGGTAGAGAAACAGGAGATCTTCGGAACAACGAGAGATTGGTATACATACATTTCAGCCAGGGTCAAGCGCACATATCTGCGAAAGAAAGAAAGAGGGAAAATATGGTACAGATCTCCCCTCCATGCCCTCGGGGGGATTCGAACCCCCTCTGCCCGCTGATATCAGAAATCGAGATATATCTGTCGCGGGTGATCTCCATTGATCAACGAGGGCCTTCCTTCCCCTCATCTAGTGCAAAATAAACAGAACGGATTTGAGTGATACAAGGCGGGAAGAATTCCTCGGCGAAGGCCCTCGGGGGATTCGAAGCCACTGATTTCTTTGTCATCGTTGTAATAATCAATGTGGGTCCATTGATCACTACCTACAATCCGATCAAAATAAATGGGATGGATTTCGGTGTGCGCGGAGGGAAAAAGTGTTTCAGTCAGAGCCCTGGCCCCCCTGACGGAATCAAACCCCATCCGCCCACTGATTACTTCTCCGCCGTTGCAACAATCAGCGTGGCTGATCTACGATGATTAACGAGTGCTCCCCGACCCAATTCTCAACCCGACTACGTCGCCGAGACACTGAGGTAGCCCAGAGGAAAAGGTAGAGAAACAGAAACTTGACTTGCAATGGGCAAGTCAGCCCGGCGAACTCAAGTATAATCTTATCTGAAACTACTCGTGAAATGTGACGTGATCTGGGTGTAGATATCAGTTCGAGACAAGTGGGATGCGACGACTGCGAACTTGGGTTAAATATAGAGGTAAGCCGGTACGGACGCGGTACCGCGAATGCAGGAAAAGGTGTGCAGTGAATGGTATTAGCTCTCATCAAATACTGGTTTATGATGGCTGACCGCGAAGGCATGAGGACGTGCCATGAAAATGTTCAACCATGTGCAGACTTGAACAAACGACTTGGAGACACGTGAATTAACTTCCTGGGAGCAGATATAGCACACAGGAGCAAATTCAGTTCAAGAAAAACTTGAAACTGACCGCCAGAAAGCCAGGAGAGGCCATGCGATGAATGTTCCAGCTCATCAAATCCCAGTCGGGAACGCACTCCTCCGCGCAGCCCAATAAAGCAACTCTCAGCAGACTTGGCATCGATCTGATCACAAGCCGTGCGGTTAGTCTCTCCTAGACAGACGCTTCAATACTTTCCACCTCGTACCTCGCTTTGTTGAACCGTGCGGTGCCGTGCTGATGCCACCGCTACGAGGTCCTTTCCAAGCCTCTCGACGCGCAAAAAATATACACAACAAAACTCGCAGGACGAAAACTTAAAATCACGTGATGAAGAGTCGTAGCTTCGCCCTCCCGGCGCTATATTCATGCGTAGTCTCTCTTGACAGACTCCCTCTCTCGTTCAATTCATGCGTAAGTATGTATTACTGACCACTCGGGATCCCTGCCTTGGCATCAGCTGGGATCTATCTCCGGATGCGCAGAGGAGAGTCGACAACGGGTGCTGGAGGCGAGGCGGGTTGAAAAAAAGCAAGGGCGGGGGAGGGAGGGCGTGGGAAGTCGGGGAAGTCGGGGAAGTGGGGAAGTGGGGAATCGGGATCGGGCGGAGTCGGAGGAAGTCGAGCGGTCGGACACCGTCGGAGTCGGAGTCGGTCGGTTGAGGGATTCGAAGCGGGTCGGGGCGGAGGGAACTGGAAATGGGTGAGAAATGGGTAGGAACAAAATAATGGGTCTCATCGCCGTAAACGCGCTGTGAGGCATTTGAACGCAAAGTTTTTGGTGGGCTTCGGGTCGAAATCACATTGGATATGCAGGGATTGAAAGCGGCGCGTTTTATTCTCCTTCGAGTACTCGGGCTCACCCGTTCAGAATGTTTGCGTTCGCCACCCGGTTCTGGATATTCCCCGATTCCCGACCTCACACACACAGCCTCAACCCAACGATCCAATCTCGCATCCCACCGCGACTTTGCCAGTCACGGTGGGAACCTCACCTTGAAACGATTCAGCACGAGGCTCCAAAGCAATTCAATGCAAGGCAATGCAAGACTTGAATTTGAGGAATGACCAGAATAGCGGAAGTGGAAGTGACTTCCACTTACTTCCACTTCCACTCGAGTCGGAAAAGTCGCAGTGGAAGTGACTTCCACTGCTACTCGGCTTCCACTGGGACGGTTCTACTTCCACGTAGCTCTGTCACACAGCCCGCTGCTTTCCCGCCGCTCCCGCCCCCGACTTGGGTGGCCTTGTTTGGTTCGGAAGGTGACGTTGCCGTTATTGCCGTAGGGTGCTGTTTCTAATTCATGTTTGCAAACATGTTTATAAACACCGGTTTATAAACCGGTTTTTAAATGGATCGGCCAGAGATGGCCGGTTTATAAATAGGATTATGTAACGTGGCAAATTTTCGCTGCTTCCGATGTCTGGCTCGGGCGCGACATACTATAACGAGAAGCTGAAGGAGCTCCTCCGGCTTCTGAAGCATTTTATGGCGGCACCCGAAAAAATCGCTGCTGATGAGCGATCAACCACCAGTCGCACAGGTATCAGATGACTGTGAGGCGGGTCTGGCCAAGGTCTGGCAACAGTCAACGAGATTGACGACAGCTCCGAGTCCGGCTCGCCGCTCGGTTCCCTAGCCTTCGACATCGAACGCGACGCTGTGGATATCATAATCCAGGCCATACCGGGGATTTGATATATCACCAATCTCTAATGAGAGATCGGCCATGTTATATCATGGACTCTAATGAGAGATGCGCCGCGATCTATCAATCCATCAAGACATCAATGAATCCATCAATTTCCATCAAATCCTCGCCGGATGGTCAAGTGACTCTGGAGCACAGGGACTTGCAGTTCTAGGTGTTAATTGGTGTTTTGTGCAAGGCCGCGGTGTACGCCGCCACGGGAAAGCCAGGGAACCCGCCGTTCGTCAGTTAAAATTCCATCAGGCGCAACAATTTGATGCGCTGATGGGGTCTATTTTTAGAGATTCACACCATTTTCCTTCATTTGCGGGAAGGGGACCAAGCATTCGATGCTCCCTCCCTCGCTGCGCTCGGGGGGTCCCCCAAGCCGGAGCATCTCAGGTTGGCCCTCTAAAGCCTCGTTCCCGTTTTAAATATGTACCTTGACCCTAACTCTAACCAACCCTAACCTCTACCCCTAACCGCTAACCGCTAACCTCTAACCGCTAACCACTAACCACTAACCACTGACCACTAACCTCTAACCACCTAACCACCTGACCTGATCCACCGCCACTACACACCTTATCCAAGGAGTTGAGGCGGATCTCTGATTAGAGTTCCTGATATAACACGGCGGATCTCTGATTAGAATAAGTGATATATCATTGCCCCAGGTACTGGTGCATAATCCCGTTTTTCCGTGATTGCCTCAGTGACGAGCCGGTCCCCGGCGCGGAGGAAATTCGGAGTCCTTCAACTTGGGTAGGGACCTCTGGGAAGACGGCTAGGAGAGCGAAACCCGCGGCGAGGCTGAAATTCGGGGGGGAGGTCGAGGAACTTGATTTTTAGCGCCCTAGTACACAGTGGTTTGTAAACATGTTTATAAACACGCCGGTTTACAAACATGGTTTATAAACCGGTTTTTAATTGCTCGGGAATTAAAAACAGCACCCTATATTGCCGTTTGCGGCTTCATTGGGATATTCATGTAGGAGTCAGTTTAAGTTCGCCCTGCTATTGGCTCAATTCAGAGACGTACCTGGAGTGTTTAAACCTCCTGGCATACATATTTAGTCCCGGGAAACCTTCCCCCGAATCCTATCGTGCCTGCCGGTTTGGGTGCTGTCACGTCTGTGACAGTGGGCGTCTAAGGGCGCTTAAAGCTGCAAAGCTTTGCAGTATATGAATTGATGGATTCAAGAGACTTTCAATTCATCATTAATGTGTAGAAAGAAGATTGAACTAAATCTAAATAAAAGTTGGTTCTATACAGTAGGAAAAAAACTAGGGATAATCATAATTGCCGTACGGAAGATAGTCTTTGAGATCACCAACTGTAAAATCCATCTCCAAGTTATCATCGTTAAGCTCCGGCGTAGGGAAAAGAGGCTCCAGGGAGGGATCTAACTGGATATCTGCGTCGAACGTGAAGTTAGAGTCCATGAGGTAAAGCGGCGCGGGGCCTGAACGTGTTGGTGAAGAGTTATCTCCAAGACCATCCATGTCTATTTCGCCCGCTAATTCAGCCTCGTCAGGGAGCTTGTCCTTATTCTTCTCGCCCTTCCGCTTCGTTTGTTTCACCCCACTCAGGCTTTGAAGATTCCTTTTCTTGTCTCGCAGCTCTCGGGTCAAGGACGTAGAATTTTGAATCGCATCATCAATGTTTTCCAGTTCGTCGCGTGCCTCACGGCGCCCCAACGCCTGGCGGAAATGGGAGGTTCGTCGGGCATCGTTTCTGCGGTCGCGTTGCGGCTTGGTATTGAGATGATTGACGAGGACACAATTCTCGTCGATTGCGCGCAGTTTTGCCTCGACCTGCAGGTCAAGTTTGTATGCACTGGAACGGGATAGTGAGCGGTTAAATTCGCAAATAATTGTAGCCCCACTCACGCTTGAATTGCCTCAAGGAGTGATAAGTTTGTGCCCGTGTGCTGATTGGTGTACGGGTGCGCGCTTTCATTGAGATTTGTGTCGCCCGGAGTCAAAAGCCAGTCGTCCTCGGGGATCTTCGATAGGAACTGGTTGAATGAGGGGAAGAACCATGGAGCCCCGTCTTTATCGTTTATCCAGTCTGCAACTCGTTAAATTCATGCCACCTGGTACAGGAACTGGGATTTACCTCGGACAACCTTGTATTCAGATGTCTTACACCACTGGATGAAACCATCCATTTCCGCCTGTGTCTTGAGGTACGGGCATCGTCGTATCCGGCCCATTGGTTCATCGGGGACAATCTTAGCCATATCGGCAAATTTTCTGGGTGGCATGAGTTCCTCCTCGTTCTCGGACACGACCTTCCAAACGTACTGCTTCTCGTGCGGGAGAGAGCGCATCTGCTTTTGCCAGAATAGGACACCTGGATAATGGAGGCACGTCATGAATATCAGGTACAGGTACTGATGGTGCCGCGAAGAGACGTACCTTCTATTCCGAGACCACAAGGGTTGTTCTCTTTCTTCACTTTCTGAATTAATGTTCGTTTAATCCGTGGGTTTGCTAGCGCGGGGTCGACGGCTCCGGGAATGTTGCCACCGAATATATCCGAGGTACTTCGAGCTGGT